CTCAGTTGGTAGAGTGCTTGCCTCACACTCACAAGGCCCTGGGTTCAATCCTCAGTACCACCAAAAAAAAAAAAAAAAAAAAAAAAAAAACCTGGAGATCTGTATACGTTATATGCAAATTCTAAACCATTTTATATGAGAAACTCAGGCATCTGCAGATTTTCGTATCCATGAGAGGTCCTGGAAGCAATTCCCCAGATGCTGAGGAGCAACTATATGTTAAACGCTAAGCTGAGGAGTTTGGACTTTGTCTTGTTGATGTTAATTTGAATACACAAGTGCCATGGTGCCCAATAGCCTTAGATACAATTTCCATGGAAACTAGTGCTTGTTTGGGAAGATCATCTCCCATGTTCAAGCGATGCCCATATTAAATTTAGAAAATAGATTTTAAAATAGAATGCATAATATCATTACTGCAAAGGGATGTGGTATTATCTGATGTAGCTAGGGTACATAGTATAAAATTAATGAAAGCCTGGGTATCTAAGTACTACATTTAATACCTGTAACCTTGAGCATGCTCTAACCTCTGCAGACCTCAGTTTCTACTTCTATAAGAGAGCAATGTTTATAGGTCCTAATTTGCATCATTGTGGTGAGGGTTAAATGAAATAATAACTGTAAAGTATTTATTGCAGTGTCTGGCGTCTGGAGAGTGTCTTGCTATTATATAACTTCCTACCAAGGATAACAATCCAGGCTTAGAACCCTAGTCTCCAAACATCCACTGATGGAGAACATTGTACCTAGAAAGTTCAGCATTTTTTCTTTCTTGAGGAATATTTTATTCATTCAGCACATAGTTATTGAACATATCCTATATACCAAGTACCTTTGTATATAGCAGTAGACAAAGGAGACAAAATATTTTACATGTATCTGTGCACATTTGTTTTATTTGTTTATTTGCTTGTTGGTTGACTTACTTCAAAGTAAGCTAGAAAAAAAAATTGACCTCCATACCCCAAACTCCCCACCATCTCCAAGATCTATCTGTGGCACAGCAGACATTGCCTTACCTCTTCTTTCCATGAGAGTCCTTAAAGCATTTAAGTCCTGTACTCTTCTCCAAGTTTACTCCTATTGTTTGCAACCATTGTTCATAAAAGAGGAGTCTCTGTGCTCTAGCTGTATTTTTACAGAGATGCCTTTTAACCATCTGGTTAATAACTCAGTGCCTCTACAAGCGCCATCTTTCCTTTCTGGGCTTCCTCCCCTTTTGTATTAAATCTGAGAAGCAGCATTGCATTATGGAACAAGTACAGATCTGAAGTCAGATATTAACAGAAGTTCAAACCCATCATCCGCACTGTAGATGACTCACTGCAACAGTTCAGAGCTTTGATCGACACATCTGTAAAATGGGCACGTGGTAATAGTATTTCCTTCATAGCGCTGTTATGAAGATCAGTAAGATAAATTGTATAAAGCATGAAGTGTACAGAAGATGCTCAATGAGTCTGGATTTTTTCAACCCTTAGCTTCCCCTTTCCTTGTTGTCTGTGAAATATTAATATCTCATTAGCTCCCAACAGAAGTGGCTGTTAAGAAATTATTCTTTGTCATCACTCTCCTGTAAACCAAGCTGGCTGGCATCCCTCTTATGAATAAGCAGCCACGGTTTGTGTAAACAAAGCAGGTGGGTCCCAGGGCAGCAGTCAGTGCTGGGCCTCT